ATTATCTCTGAGTAACCCACTGAAATTAGCCCATGCAAAGGCAGAGGCAGGAAAGGTGCGAGATGGTTGTATAAAGAAGGAAACATTGAATCACCTTCTTTGAGGAGCAGATGAGTGGCCGCAAGGACTATCTATTTCTGTGTGCTTTATGAGACTCCTCTGTTTTATCATCTGTTAGTGTGCATGCAAAGGTGGCTCCATGGGACTCTCTAAGTCAAGGGCCTCAAACTCATTTCACTCCGGGGCCACTGGACAATTTTTTTTCTCCCATGGAGGCCGCTTGCCAAATTCGACACTTCAAAATAAAAATGTAACTATATACAGTCTGCGTGTGTTTATAATGTCAGTATATGAGTTTGTGATGGTTTCTTTGTATGCAATGTCAGTATATTTTTTTGTGTGTGTATTGTGAGGATTTCTGTGAGTGATGTCGGTATGTGTGTTAATGTTTCTGTGTGTGTCATATCAGTATGTATACATGTGTGCAGTGTCAGTATCTGTGTGTGTTTTACCCCACAGGTTTTAATTTTAATCATACATGACCAACAGATTCACACATTCACTCACACACAGAAATATGCATGTTCTGCCTCACAGGCATTAGATTTATTGCATTGCCCACCTGCCTTCTCAAAATTGGCCACAAGATGGTGCTAAGAGAAAATATCTCTATTTTACAGCAAAGGCGGCTGTTTTCCTATGGTAGGTTCCCAGCAACCTCTAGCCAAGAAGGGAACAGGTGCAACCGGGGACCTCAGACTCCATCTTGGAACTGAGGAGAGGAGTATCTAGTGTCATCCTGAGCACTAGGCATTAAAAGGAATAGGAATAGAATAGGAATAGAGCACTAAGCATGAAAAGGCATTAAAAGATTGCAGAAACATCTGCATCGGAAAATACACGATTCACAGTGTTTGTTTTTTTGATTTGTATGCCATAATAAGTAACAGATGCAGTCGGTCTGCCGCAGTGAGCGATGTTGTGAAGGTGGTGATGCTACTGCAAGGAGATATGGAGGGTGATTGTGGATACAAATCCAGTTAGTATGGACAGTTTCTCTAGTCAGTTTAAATCTGACCCTATCTGCGCTATTCCCCATGATTTTGGGCTTTTGTCCAATCTTTTGTTGATTGGGGCGGTTCTACCTTCCACTTGTCCCCTTTGGGCTGCGGTGATGGTGCGTGTGTCCGGTGTAGTCCAAATGTATGGCTCTTCTGGTTTATGCTTCTAAAAATCAGAGTACCTCCTTCCCTTCTTGAAAATGCATATAGCGAAACGCTTTGAAGATCTGGATCACCCCAATTGGAGGAATCATAATCTTTAAGTGTTAATGTTGTGCATGACAATCCACTTAACCTGTGATATATCAAGCTTTTCTCCTGAATTATGGGGGATACCTGGGAGGTTACTTGTGCCATAAAAATCATAAAAACAAACACTGTGAATCATGTATTTTCCAATGCAGATGTTTCTGCAATCTTTTAGTGCCTTTTAAATTTTGTAAAAACAATAAAATATAGAATTTTACAATTGTGTGGTTTAGAGCCTTCAAAAAGCCCACAACCTTTTTGGTGTGTGTGATATATATGATGGGGTTTGGCACTGTTGGGCTGAGTTACCACTGATGCATTGAGCTATAAAACTGTTTACAATACACAGTTCACTCCTTCGTATCCTCGCAGTAAAAGGCACATTTTAACCATACACTACAGCAACACTTGTACTGCGATGCAGTGTGTTCTGTTGCTATTAATGTCTAATGGAATCCCAAAGCAAGATCCCAATGCATCTACACTTCATCGCCTCACCACGCACATTCATTTCATTTAAAACTGCCATTAAGTTTTCTTGGCCATCTGCATCTCTTCACAGAGATTTCCTTTATTTCCTGTCCTACAAATCCCCTATTAGACAGTTGTCACAGGAACAAATGGTGGGATCAGTTGGGTCAAGTGAACTTTACTTTCTGAAGGTAAAAAGAACTGCAGCATCTGAGGGCAGAACATACGATCAGAAGGCTCAGATTAATAAACAAGAACTCCGGGCAAATAAAATCTTAACCCTTGTAGAGGGGCTACCCCTGCACTGCGAGGGTTTTGTGCTCGTTTTGGTCTCAGGAGCTGAAATAACAGTTACACTCACCTGTACCGCAATCCCAGCTGGCAGATAGGCCTGTCTAGTCCTCCGCTCCAGAGATGGTATGTCCCTTGCATCCTCACGTTCTATACACTGTATAAAATGTGATGGCTTGCAGGACCTTAGACTGCTGGTGCTGAGTGGGAGCGAGGCTGAAGGGAGCGGTCTAGCAGCCAGCTGGGTGTGCGGTTCAGGTGAGCATAACTCTGTTATTTTAGCTCCTAAGACAAAACAAACACTTAGACCCCGTTCACACCAGGGCGGTTCGGCCGCGTGATTTCGTCCGTGCTGAAGCGCCGACATGAACGATCCCAGACATTGCTATGGGGACCGTTCATGCAGCCACGCAACCCTAACTGCCTGCCGCCCTAAATGCTCCCTGAGCTTTTTTTTTGCGTCGATCAGCGCGGTTTCCATATAGATTTCAATGGAATCGCACTGATTAGCGCGGTTTTGGGCATTTTTAATATAGTTTCAGCGCTGAAACGCAGTTAAAAATGCCCAGACCTGCCCTTTTAGAATGTGCGCAGAAACCGTGCTGAACCGCATCTGCCCTGGTGTGTACAAGACCTTAACCCTTGTTGCGGTGTGTCTGTGTCTCTTTACGGCTAATTGACAACAGGCAGCAAGCAGATTCTATAGCCAATTGCCTGTCTGCTTTTGGCTATGGAATCCACCCTATTCTGACTCCGATTGTTGTGATAGCTAAATATATCCCTTGCTGAGACCTCTATGCCTGGCCTGTATAAGCAGATATACTCACTGCGGACAATCCTTGTCAGATAGCTGAACTCGTCAATACCGATTCATTCAAAAGAGGTGTTTATTCTTAACATCAGGATTACAGCAGATGATAGGAACAGCAGATGACTGGTTATAGTATAGTGCGGTCAGAAAATGATGCCTTGTCTATTATACTGCGCAGAGTATATGTGTCCTAGTTACTTGTGGCCTGTAGCTGTGGCCATGACACAGGAAGTACTGCACTCAGGAAGAAGGGTGGGGCTACATACAGAGGAAATACGTCACAAAGGGAACACAGAACATGTTTGATACCAAGAAAGGCCACTAGATGGCAACATATAACTAACTATACAAACGTCCATAGGAAAATGATATGGACAACACAATCTATATAAATTCTCATCTATATAAACTTTTATGCCCCATTGGGGCGGCACACACCCACTGCCAGTCAGTAGCAGAGCAGACCTGATGGGGAACTAGGCCATCGGAGTTCCCCTTCAGGCTCCTCCTACTCTCATCATCGTTGGTTTTCTAAGAGGTTTTGGCTATGCAGCCAACAGCACATTAGCAACCAATCAGATGCTGTCTGGGAGTTCCCTTGCTGACAGCTGAATGCAAACAAAGTGGTGGGAATGCTGGCTGATATCAGTACCCAGACATAGCATCGGCCATATTTGAGTAAAGATGTTAGCCAGCATCCCCCGCCACTTTGTCTACTATCGTTTATTGGGGAAGCTCCATGCCGCTGCTGAATGGAGCTGGAGATGTGTAGTTAGTTGCTAGGATGCCAACATCCGGGTGTCCTAGCAACCAATGAACCACGAGCTGGAAGCAGTCACATTCATGATATCTTCCCAGCACATACATGTCGCATTCCGAGCACTGGCGTCTCTGTGTACACCAGATTAGATATGGTCTTAATTACCGCCAGCTTTCTAATTGGTAAATTATTTTTGAATCTGTTGCAGCCGTAACGTTAGATTCTTGGTCCCTATTCACACCTTCGTGCTTTACAAACACGTGACAAACAAGCAGATTGACGCAGTTCACAGAACACGTCAAGAACATGCAAACCGCTTGCGGTGCCATTACTTGTTAATGGGACGCCAAACATGGCCAGGAAATCATGTGTTATTGCGCATTAAAATGCACACAAACACATGGGAAAAAACCACGGCACGCATGTAGTAAAATTTGCCACATGAGCTACTTTCCAGCGTTTGTTGCTTATGCGGCACCCGTTGAAATCAATGGTGATGCGCAGCAAATGTTAGAAAACAAAGTGTGCAAATGCAATGTGCGTTCCCGGTATGCCAAATTGTAAATGGAGGCCTTAAAGAGTCAGTCCACTTGAATTTGGTGAAATTTGGGAAAATGGAATAACCCCTCCAATCTGGCCCCCTCCCCCACGCCTTAATTTTGAATTTTGCTTGCACTCATTGGTCAGCGCGGTCACCTGACCGCACTGATCAACATGAAGTGCTTTTGACTGCGCTGACCAATGAGTGCTCGCCATTTGGAAGCGAAATTCAAAATCAGGAGCGCAGGGCTGCGCTACATAGCGGTACGGATAGTACACAAGTACTAGTGGAGGGGAAGGAGCGTTCGTCCAAAGGTAGGTATAGCAAGGGGCAGAGAGGGGGCCAAATTGGTGGGGGTAATTCCATTTTACCAAATTAATCTGGGAAAGGGGACTTACCCTATAAGTGGTGCTATCCTGATTCTGTCACAACTGTCCATAAAGCTACCGAAACTGGTGACAACGGTGTTTTTAATTTGGCGCAAGGTATACCAGCAGAAAAGTGGCGCAAAGCTTCTATACAATTCATCGGCTGGTAATGAGCGCCGCACAGCGACACCTGATGGCAGGCTCCTGCAGGGGGCGCTGTGACGGGTTCCGAGTTGTTATAGAAGCTCAGGCCCCGCCCCCTTCCAGGAATAACGATTGTGTGCGCTGACTTCCTGGCGGAGAGTCCCGGGATTATCGTTACCGTACACAGAGGGAGGGGGCGCACATCTCACCCCGCCCCGGGCTATAGAACGGCTGATCTCCTGTGTGAAGTATGCGGGGCGGCCTGTGAGGTCCATGGCTCGGTGCGCTCACCTCCCCCTCCTCTCGGAGAGGCGGGGACAGCAGACATGGTAGTGAGGGGGGCGGGGGGAGCCGGGGATTCCGTGCTGCACTCATTTACTATACGGCTTATCATTCATTGCCTGGCAGAGGAGAGGGGGGTGCAGCATGCAGGCTGAGCACCTGGGGGACACTGTGTGGCCCTTGCTGACAGATGTGATGGGGACACTGTGTGTGGCGGTGTAGTGTGGCTCCTGGGGCGAGCTTGCTAGACGGACGACAGTGCTGTGTGATCAGTGCCTTAGGAGATCTCCTGTACACCCAGGAAGAGGGCTGAGGAGTCCGGTACACCCAGCCCCCCAACTGCTGATCTTCATCCTCCTACCCCCTTCCATACGGCCTTCATCTGACATGTGACAGCTCCCGAGCCTCCGCAATGTTCCGACAAATCTGCAACCGCCTGGTGAGTGTTCATGTCTCTGTATTGTCAGCTCCAGGCTGAGCACATTCATACCATACATATAGGTCCATGGAGGAGACCACTGCCTGAAGAGCTTACACTCTACAAGAAGAGAGCACACAGGCTTATTATTTCTCCCCACCTCTGACTACTGAACATTAGTGTCAGATCATTGGAGCCTCTGTGGGATGGAAAAGGGAGAATGATATAAATCTGAACTCTAGGCAAACAGATAAATATACATATAAACCAAAGGATTTGTATTTCTGTCCATCCAGTCCTGAGATATACACAGCACAGCCAGGTCTGGCGGGGCAAGAGACTTCATTTTTCTCTGCTGGGGTTCAGTAACATCTTGGGGTCTTATCCCTCCCCCGGCCTTGAGACTGGACAGTGAAAGGAGAATCAGCAGACTGATCAGCTCCTCTCTCTGCTCTTTCCTCCTGTTGGCATACTTTTTGCACTGCAGCATAACTGATCAGCTTCTTGTGCTGCTTCTTCATCTACCAGTCTGGGCTTTGCTGTACAGGGGCTGATGCTGAATACAATGTAGGTACTTACACTGCTTGCTTTTAAAACGAATACATTTAAAGATGGTTTGATAATTTTTTTGCCTGGAG